AATTGATTAGAGGCAAATTGTTACACTGTATCAACTTGCCCCAACTAGAAAAAAATTAAATTTTTATTTACAAGTAATTAAATATATAAAATTTATTTCATTTAGATGGTCAGAAATTACAAAAAAAAAAAAACTAATCGAGGTACAACATCTGAAGATACATTTAAAAATGCTTCTGCTGGAGTGTTATCTAAGGAAAATTCGCTGAGAAATGCTGCAGAAAAGTACCAAATACATTTTATGACACATCAAAGATACATTAAAAAGCAATCCAATATACCTTTGAAAACTAATTGTAAACTGATTGGATATGCGAAACCTAGGCAAATATTTTCAGAATCTTTAGAAGCTGCTTTATCTACTTATTGGTTCATTGTAGCAGAATCTATTATGGTCTTACTCCATTGGACGTTAAGTTGTTGGCGTATAAATATGCGAAAGCAAATGATGTTGCTTATCTTAAAAACTGGGATGCTCGTAAACAAGCCTCTAAAGACTGATTTACTAGTTTCTTAAAAGGGCATCCCATGTTATCTTTACGTTTACCTGAACCAACTAGTCTTGGAAGAATCATTAGCTTTAATAAACACAATGTCGGTATTTTTTTTGATAATCTACATAGTCTGTATGTGAAGTATCAGTTAGAAGGGACAACTGTAACTATGGCCTTTGCTGTCAATGCCATAGGAAACTCTTTGCCACCTATACTTATATTTCCAAGAGTTAATTTTAAACAGCATTTTATAAGCAATGGACCTAATGGCTGCATTGGAGCTAGCCACCCAAGTGGATGGGTAACTGCATTTTCCTTTTTACAGTTTGTTGAACATTTTCAGAAACATGTTTGTTGTAGTCCATCATCTCCGGTTTACATAGTTTTAAAATTGTTATACGCAAGACTGATTTTACCATAAGACTTTGTACTATTACTTTTTGTTATTTTTTCGAATAATATTTATCAAATAAAATAAAAATGAATATTATAGCAAATTGCCCCCAGTATGTAACAATTTATCCCGATTCGGGGCGAGTTGTTACTTTTTGATTTGATGAATCAAAATATTATTTTCTTTGATTAAAAATGTTTCTTTATTTATTTATATATATTTGTATGATACTTAAGAATTAACTGCATAAAATGGATGAATATTCATCCAGATAATAATTAATGTGAAATTCTAAAAATTAAAAATGTACAAATTGTAACAACTAACCCCGCTCTCCCCTACCACATAAATATCTAAAAAGGTTAACATAAAATACCAAAATAAGATATAAACATATAAATAAAGTATAATTAATTTAATTTTCACCTTGAGTAGATTTAATAAAGAGTTGTATTAGAGAAATAGTTATAAGTTATATAGTTATATAGTTAATATAACATAGATCTCAAGTGCTTATACAGACTCACACGCATACATATGAATATCGCTAACAGTGACATCAACTACATGATTAATTACAACAGAATATTCGTCTTTTCAGGACAATTAGAGGTAAGTGAAATATTCATTTACATAATAAATCTATAATAATACATTTTTCGAAGGATATTTAGTGATATACAATTTGATTGATGTAGGTTGTCTAAAATTAATATTACGATTATAATTATATGACATTTCCTAGCTTCTTCTACTACATTACTTTTCATCTCTTCATCCACTATTATCCCTACACTATTCTTTTAACAAAGATCCCTATTTTACGCAACGCATTGTTGAATGTTAATTATAATATAATATGTTTAACTGAAACTTGGCTTAATGAAAATGTTTTTGATTCTGAACTTGGTTTCACTGATTATAATTTATATCGTAATGATCGTAATAATTTGTCCTATGGGAAAAAACGAGGTGGTGGTGTAGTAATTGCAGTAAATAAAAAAATTAGGTGTGACGTATTAAATGTCTCTAGTGTTATGGGTATTGAACAAATTTTTTTGAAAATTAGTTTAAATAATGTTAATATAATTTTAGGTTGTATTTATATATCACCAGGTAGTTCTTGTGATATATATTCTAAGCACTGTGAGGTCATAGAGTCTATTTATCTAATGTACCCCAATTATAATTATGTTATAACTGTTGATTTTAATTTAAATCAGTTTGACTGGTCTATTGATCCAATCATTGAAGATCATATTACAGGTTCTCTAATTTTTAACTGTTTTATAAATTTCTTAAATTTGAAACAAGTAAACCATATAATTAACTGTAGTTGTCGAACTCTTGATTGCATATTGATTAGTGCTGATATTGAACTTACAAATAGTTTACATTCGTCTGAATCTCTTGTTCCTATAATTGATAATTATCATCCACCATTAGATTTTATAATACAATTCGATAATTCATTGGGTAATGAACATTTTGAATCTCCATTAGTTTATAACTTTAAAAACTGTAACTTTGATGACATTTCTCATTTTCTTCAGAGTATTGATTTTGATCTTAATCTGAATTATACTTTATCTTTTGAATTGCTTATTGAAAATTTTTATGAAATTATTTACCACTCTTTTAATTTATTTGTGCCTAAAACAAAAATATATAATAAATATAAACTTATATGGGCAAATTCTGAACTCAGAGATTGTATAATTAAAAAAAAATGTGCCCATAAAAAATGTAAATTATTCCCTTCTGATACTAATTATTATGATTTCTCTATCTTAAGAAAAAAATGTAAACATCTTAAAACAGTATTCAAACAAATATCAAACTTTTTTGGAATTACATTAACTCTCTAAAGAAGTCTAATAATTCTGTTCCGGACTGTGTAAATTACCATAACTCATCTTCTACTAATATTTTAGAAACAACTCAATTATTTGCAAACTATTTTTCAAGTGTCTATACCAAAGATCTTCCGCTCTTTAATGGACTTGATCCTCTCCCTTCTGGTGGATCTGATAATTATTTGAATTTACACTCCTGGACTATCTATCTGAATGAAATTGTTGATTATTTAAATTCTTTAAATGCTCATGCTGGTACTGAACCTGATGGTATTCCACCTATATTTTTAAAAAATTGTAGCTCTGTTCTTGCTCGTCCGCTTCTTATGATTTTTAATAAATCATTAAGCTTGGGTTAATTCCCTAACATTTGGAAAAGGTCATTTGTAACACCAGTATATAAATCTGGAGATAAACATAATGTTACAAGTTATAGGCCGATTTCCAAAATGTCCATAATTCCGAAAATGTTTGAAGCACTAATAACAAAAAAATTGTCCCTCATTTCTAATAACCAACATGGTTTCAGACCCAAAATGCCAGTTTCTACAAATATTCTACTTTTTCAGAAGAAAATCCTTTCGGCTTTAAATCAACGTGTTCAATTGGACACTATTTATACAGACTTTCAGAAAGCGTTTGATAAAGTAGACCATAATATTCTATTACATAAATTATCTTGTGTTGGTATTCATGGTACATTTTTTAATTGGTTAAAATCTTACCTATGTTCTCGTACCCAGGTGGTTAAAATTAATAGTTTTATTTCTAATGAATTTTTGGTTACTTCTGGTGTACNATAGTTTTATTTCTAATAAATTTTTGGTTACTTCTGGTGTACCACAAGGGTCGCACTTAGGTCCCCTCTTATTCATACTATTTATAAATAGATGCGGCACAATAATCACCAAGACAAAAATTAAACACTAAAAACATATATTTGTAAGTTTCTCTGTGCTGTCTGCCGGCGCGATGTTCGTTAAAACAAAGATATTAAACCTTAAAAGACTAGCTACCCAATACACATAGGCTTACAAATATATTCTAACCTAATACACCTAACTTTAAAAATCTTTAATTGCAACCTTTACTCTGTCTGCCGGCGCGATGTTCGTTAGAACAAAGACATTAAACCTTAAAAGACTAGCTACCCAATAAGTATAGAGTTGCAATACACTTAGTCATATAATAAATATTTACCATTAACTGTGAAAATTAGAGTTGATTCGATTTTATTATATATATATAAAAAAAAAAATGTTTTGTTTTAAAATATTAATTGACATTTATTTCCATGATAAAATTAAACATTATTATTTAATGAACAAATTAAATTAAATTAAAAGATTCACCAAAACAAAATTCACTTTAAAATTCCTAAGTGTCATTTAGTTTTAAGGAAAAAATATTCTAAGTCCAAATAAATTAAAAAATCGAAAAAAAGTCCCAGAGAGTAAGAATCTTGAGTAGAGTGTCGCAGATTTTGTGTATTTTAAAATCGCCGAAAGAATTGATTTTAATAGGAAAAAATGGGTTTTTGTAGTAGATGAGGGTCCTGTAGCGATCCCTAATGTGATCTTAGAAACTATAGATCTTAATTAATAGTTAAATGTGATTGGCTGTAGCTAATTAAAAAACCACACATGGGCGTGACTTTGAGTCTGTACGATAATCAGATTTAATTGCCTAATTTATTGATTATTTTAAGTTTTAAATAAGGGAACCCTGTTTTGGTGATCTTGTGAATTCATAATATATGACATACATGTACAAAAGATAACATAATATAATATTTTAATATTATAAGTAATAATATAATATTACAATAATAAATCCAATAGTATTTGATGAAAAAAATTATTTTATAATACGAACACTTTTTAGCAATTAATAATAGTTAAGACAATCCTCACATGTATCAATTATTTATTCATAACTTCGAAATATATTGATAAATAAGCATGAAAAGTATAAATTATAGTTAACTAAAAAAACATATAAAACATTCTTATTAAAAAAAAATTTAGTATTGCAACTATACAGAAATATTTTTAGAATACATCTGTTATTTGAACACAAATAGATAAATTATAATTTTTTTATTGAAAATGCTGTATGGAGGGGAGATGTATTTTAAAAATTCATTAAATTTTCCCCCAAAAAATAATGCATATTAATTTTATAAATGTGTGACAAAAATAAAAATATATAATTAAGATTTTGATTTTTATAATCATCTTGGCAAAATAAATTACAGGTCTAAAAGCATTTATTACTATAATATCTAAGACTAGTTCATAATCAAAAATGTTTCTGAAGTGTATATTTTATTTATTAGTTATTAATTTCTATGTTTGTTTAACCAAATCAGATGAACACTTTAAAGATTTGAATATACTTTTAGATCGCGAAGCATGGAAAAAGTTAGGTAATCTTTGGAAGCCTCACGACGTTGTTGAATGTAATCCAGACGGACAAATTATCGATGTTGCAGAATTATTCAAAAAAGATGAATCTCAAAATAAAATTGTTACGGACGAAAATTACAAAATTAAAGTACAAAAACTATTTTTATTATACAGCGCTGTACATGCATGTATGCTTTATAAAATCATAGCTGTTCTTAGAGGATTTTGGGAGCTTTGTGAAAGAGAAGAAGAAAAATGTAAAAAATTATTTTTACTTACTTTAGTTAGATTTCATAATATTTTTGTAAAGATGCTAGACGCACTTAGTTTTATTTCTAAGTTTAAAAGCAAAAGTCCTCTCATTATTAGCGATAATACAAAAAACGGAGTAACTACTACATTAAATCATCTCAATGTATTGTCAAATAGTAATTCACAAAGTAATGAATGTATTAGAGTTGAATTAAACGGCGCGTACAACTCAATAAAAGACTTTTTCGCATCACATTTTAGGCCTGTTCCTCTTTACATAATAGATGACCAGATCTACTTTTCACATGTATATAATGCTGTGTTAAATACTATTAATGACAACAATAAAACGTTAAATTTTAAATTGACGCGTTTAATAACCACTTTATTTTACCAAATAACACAATATAATGATTACCACAAAAATGAACTTGGCTTTTGCTTTCATACAAATAGTCATTTAGTAGAGCCTATAATAGAACAAAATACAATTAGAGCGCCAGAGGCATCCGACGACGAAGATGATGGCTAAAATAAAAATGACTTATAGATTCTGTATTATTAATCAAATAAATCAATGTTCTTTTTTATATTAAAATAAAGCATAAATTATTATTTTACACATTGACCAATTATTATCTTATTTACATTTTTTCGATTTTATAAGCTAATTAATAAGAATGTTACTATTTGTAAAAATAAAGTTGACAACCTATAAGTGTTATGTGTTCTAAGAAAACCGTTTCCTAGCCAAACATAGTGATGCTCACTTGCGTTACTTTACTATGTATTTATATTATTTATATAAATATAATTTTTAATGAATTCTATTTTTGTTTTAACAGCTATTTAAATTATAAATATGTATTGTTAGAACAAACGAGAGAATTCATTTTTGTCATTTTGTAAAAGCGTGAACATAACACGTGTTCAATAACACTGATGATGAAAATAGCTTAATTAATTAATAAATAAATATTAAACATAGACAAAAAAAACAAGAAAATGAATTTTTTTAAATATTTTATTATCTATAAAACTTTTATAGCTTTACAAATAAATCGATTATTTCATATTTCTAAAATAAAAAGCAAACGTTTCGGAGTATATTATTATAAAAATAATTTGTAAAATCAAATTTTAATGTTTTCTTAAGTATACTTTATGTGTTTATACTAAAAATATATATAAAATAACTATGATTAATTCAATTTAGTGTATTTTAACAATTTTAATTAATTTAAATATTTACTAAGTTTTGGTAAAATTAAATAATAGTTATAAATATTTAAAATGCATGGTAAAAATACAATTATATAATTTCATTTTTTAATAGGATCTTAGCAGTATAAAATTTATGGTGTTAAAAATTGTAATTATATAATATCTGAGTCCTGTGTCATAGTCAAAAATGTTTAAGAAGTGTATATTCAATTTATTAGCCATTTATTTCTATGATTGTTTAACCAAATAAAATGAATACTTTAAAGATTTGAATAAACTTTTAAAACGCAACAGCTGGAAAAATATAGATCATCTTTTGTATCCCCTACATATTGTTGAATGTGATTCAGAGGAGCAGAAACTCAATTTGGTAGAATTATTAAAAAAAGATGAATCCCAAAATAAAATTGTTACAGAAGAAAATTATAAACTTAAAGTACAAAAATTATTTTTATTATACAGCGCCGTACATGCGCATAAACTTAATAAAATCATTGCTGTTCTTAGAGGGTTTTGGAAACTATGTAAAACAGAAGAAGAAATATGTAAAAAATTATTTTTAAATACTTTAATTAATTATCATGACACTTTTGTAAATATGTTGGACGCACTAAGTTTTATTGCCAAATTTAGAAACAAAAGTCTTGTCATAATTAGCGATAATCCAAAAAACAGGGTAACCATTGCCTTAAATCATCTTATACTTTTGTCAAATAGTAATTCACAAATTAATGAATGTATTCAAGTTGAATTAAACGGCGCGTACAACTCAATAAAAGACTTTTTCGCATCTCATTTTAAGCCTGTTCCTAATTACATAACAGATGACCAAAACAACTTTTCTCTTATATATACAGTTGTAACAAAGGTTATATATGACAACAACAAAACAATGTTTCGAAAATTGAAGATTTTAAGTCGCGTATTATATATTGAAATGGAACAATATAATAATTATCACATAAATGAACTTGGCTTTCGCTTTTATAAAGATAGTCATGTAGTGGAAGTAGCGCCTTTAATAGAACAAAATATAATTAAAGCGCCAGCAGTATCCGACGACGACGATGATTGCTAAAATAAAAATGACGTATATATTTTGTATTATTAATCAAATAAATCAATGTCCTTTTATATATTAAAACAAAGTATAAATTATTATTTAATAAAAATAACTAGTATTAAAAACGGGTATTTTTTACATTCCCGACCACGTAAGTCTCTTAACGATAATGATATATTATTTATACAGAGTTAGTGTTCAACAATTAATTACGTATTATCTCCTAAGATATAAAAGCTTCTTATATATTTTTTGTTATAAAAATGGTTTTAGTTGAGTCTATTATACAGAAAAATTTAATTTCTACCACCATTCCTTTTGCTTTAAACTTGTATCAATTCAGTTTTCTAAATGGCAACCACAATTTTTCTTTTAAATCGTCAGTTTAGTTAAAAAAAAATTAACTTGATATAATTTTAACCTATTTACATAATTTAAAATTTAGGGTATATAAGATCAAAATATATTTGTTTATACTAGATAAAATCATTATAAATAGCAATATTAATCAAGTGCACTTATTGTAAGATAATAAGTGCTCCCGGAATAAATTTTGTTGGAAATAAACAATTAATTATATATTAATTAATATAATTTATTATATTTATATTAACATTACGCGACGAGCCTCCTAAAAAAAAAAACAGTTAAATTTTCAAGTTGCTGATAACTTAGCTAACATGTTATATGACGTAATCGACGATACACTAACACCAACTATTTGATTTTTATCAAATAACACAAATATTAAATTATTGTAATTATTGTTATTGCAGCAACACTTGTCAACAATGATTTGTAATTCATTACACACTTAGTTGTTAAATGCTAATATTAATAACAAATCCTAAATAAAATCAATTATTATTTAGATTTACTAAACCAAACAATTACACTAATAAAAAGTAAGATAATACTAAACTTAAAACTAAATAGTTTTTTGTGTCAGACAACTAATAGAAAAGAAAAGAAAAAGCTATAAATACTATACACACTATTTATAGATTTGGAAAAAGCGTTTTATTGAGTGCCCGGAGAGGTTTTAATGAGGTAGACAGTTATGAGAAAAAGAGTTTAGCAAAGGGTGGCCGATCCCAAGTAGTTAGGATAAAGGCGAGGAAAAATAACAACACTTACCTTAAAACTTAACATTTTATGTTAATAAGAATACGTGGCAAATTTAATGTAATATTCTTAATAAAGTTATACATTAAAAAAAAGTTGAGTAAAGACTTGTCACACATAATATCTACATCTCAATGATATTAACTCAAATTGTGTTACTACAAAAAATAGCCCAAATACACAATTAATATATTTATATAAATAAATACAAATGTATTATGAAAAACTGTATCTATTTGGGGTCGGTGGTTGTTTTGTCTCCGTCTCTTAATGATACATCTTTTTGAATCTCCAACAGTTCAATAAATAAATATAATCTTTGAGTCCTAATTGTCTAGGATAAATTGAAAGTACAAATTTAATAATTTCCATACAAATCTTGAAGATATGTTACTATAATTATGTTTGTCCATAAAAATTCTCAGCTTATCACCTACATACGTGATAAATACGTCAAAAAAAAAAAAAATCAAATTTACATTAATGAAAACGTTTTTCTTTTAAATTTAAAAAATTGTCTTAAATGTTCTTTTTATTAAAAAAAATTTAGTCTTATTGAAATTTAAAATTGCTATGACTTTTAAAAATTTGTGGAAAAAAAATACAAAAATCATATATATATATATATATAATACCCACCTACTTGCCCGTACCAAATATTGCATTTTCATACATGTGTCATCTCATGTGCACTTAACATTACTTCCCCCGTTGACCTAGGCATTCTTCAAAGATAAGGTAATGGGGTAGGCAATGGGTAAAATTGTGTACAGTGACACGACTTACGTCGCAAAAATGTGGTCGACACTGGTTTTGAGGGTAGAGACCCGTGGGCCGTTTATTAAACGAGCGACAACAGATTATTTTAACAAAAATAAAACAAACCGAAAAGATAAACACAGTAATAATAATCTTCGCATAATATCGCGGCACTTTCGCTGGCGTCGACGACGCGATGTTCGGCGTAATCCTTGGACGGCAAAATGGTTAGCAGCGTTGTAGGCGACGGTGCGCGGGTGCGGTTCGGCTGTCGACGTTGTCGCTTTCACAACGGGAGGAAGACTCTCGCACCATTTGCGGCGGGTCGTCGTCGGCCGTGCGGCATTTGCTGGACTTTGCACCGTAGCGTATAACACGCGGTGTTGGTCAGTCAGATACTCATAGTAGGGCGACGGCAGATAAAGGTGGCACGAGTCGCGGGGCATCGTGTATAACGAAGCGACGCGGGCCGTGTCAACAGAAAAACTTTTTTTCCTTAAAAACTTAGAACAATTTGTAAATAGTAAATGGTCTGAATACCAAAAGAGAAGATATTTTAGGAAGGAATGAAATGTTTAAATCAAGGAAAGTGTTGCCAAGAAAGCCTCGGTGGTCAAGTCGGAGACCACCTCCAGATGTACTAAGTAGGATCTAGTCGTTTTGGTGTTGCATTGCCGAGTTTCTTTAACTATCAACGGGCCGTCATGCAAATTAAGCGTTATAATTTGACACGACTTGATGGTAAGTCACTTATAATCGCAGCAGGGCGCAAAGCCTTTGCCCTAGTACACATTACGCAAATATAAATAAATCAATGAACTGCGTCACGTCCAGATAAAATTCAAAACTTACATGAGAGAATAGTAAGTATCAGTCTTGGATCTCCATGCAAAAAACTGAGATGATAATGTCGAATTGATAGAGTGCTCAAATGAGACAACTTTTGCAGTAGTACAAGATGTTTCTGGTCATAACTTATGGAAGAGTAACGTTAGCTGCCACCTACCTAAATAACCCCTTGATCATCGAAGAAAGTCCCAAGCTGAGTATCTGATCATTATCAATAGCTATACTGACGTTCATAAATATCTACGACGTGATTTTCGCTTCAGGTAATTTTTGCGGTGGGATAACACGAAATGTTGATAATGTCCATTTTTCTCCTGGCAATCGAACAAATGATAGACCGTTCCAATAAAACGAAAGGTCAACATGGCACTAGGCAGAAGACCACGAGAAGACGGGTCTGTTTGGTTGTCGGATGTAGATACATAATTCCACAAGCATCTAGGCAATAAGGTATATATTTTGTTTATGCGGTTGGTGACGAATATCTTGAAGCTTTTCGGTTCCATTTTAAGTCATGAAATAATTATGGTAGAGTCAGTCCACGCAACCACGCAGTCTGTATCAGAACCTGAGATAATATAGTCTTCGTAGATGGTAATGGTGAGGACTCCCTTGGCCCGGGGGTAATTGACACAATCTTTAGCATCCAGTTCACGTAAACATCGGATTGTAATCAATTATGAGCTCATGCCATATGT